TCAGGCCTAAGCGAGAGTCATCCAAAATACGCCAGGCAACAAGGATACAATCGCAAGCATACCACAAGGATACAATCACAAGGATACCACAAGGATACACCAACAAGAGTCCACCAACAAGGACAAAACACCAAGGATACAGATACAAGTCAAAGCGAAAACCTTAAAGAGCCCAGAACCATGACGGTCGAGGTTTCGCGAAGAACTGAAACCAAGCCAAATCGTTGCCATGTCGAAGAAAGAGGGAAGACGGCACAGCAAAGAGAGCTGTACCGTAGTAGCAAATGGGCGCCCAGGAAAAATAACGGGAACAAGCAAAGAGGACGGCTCGAAAGCAAGGTTTCGTCGGGGGGGAGCGAGCGACAGCCTGGCATTCAAAAAAAGTCATCATGAGCTCAAGAGTTACCCGATAGGAAGCGCGCAGGAGGATGGCTGCCCAGCAGCAACCAGAAAGAGCCAGCCCGGGGCAAAGATGGTCGACCATTCGTCGGCCTACCCAAGCTCCGCGGCAGATCCCGACGCAGGTCAGGGATAAGAACCCCATGCCGGAGCCCGTGGTCAGCTCCGATAGCGACGTGGAGATTATCGGCGAGAGAGTGGCGCCTCCGCAACGCGATGGGTCAAACCCGAGACCATATTCCGGTCGGGGTTACGGGCCACGCTAGGCGGAGAAGGTCCAAGCCGAAGGCCAAAGTAGCAGCCCCATTAGGCCATGCAGAGGCTATCATCCAGGCCACTGTGCAACACCAGCTGAAGTCGAAGGCGGAGATGGACGAGCAGCAGCAGCAGGAGGAACAGCGGCAGCAGCACGAAGAGCGGCGGCGAGTGATGTGGCAGGAGGCCGAAAAGGCGCTCCGACCGCACCAACAGGAGCAGGCCGAAGTTAAGCGCCTGCTGAAGAGGGCGGAGGAGGAGGAACGCCAGTAGTGTGAGCCCCCACAAGCGGTCCCGATGACCCCGCGGTACACGCCGGAAGAAAGCGGCCCGAGGACGATCTGGGCTGAGGTTCCATTCGGACCATCACGCCACAATAAATTTAATCTGAATTCAAACTCAAAGAAGGAAAGAAGTGCAGTTCTTATTTGAAAGACTTAAAAGCTATTACCATACTGGAGACATAATTCTATCTGGACAACCGCTCCTGGATCATCTAGTTAACTGGCGCAGCCGGCACCCTCAGCTGGAAGACAGCAGGGTCAGGAAGAGGCCCTAAGATACCCAGAGGACTGAGGAGAGCCATGTGGATTATCGTTGGATTGCTGATCCTAGTTGGACAGTAAGTAAAGTGAAAAGTGAAGGAAGTGAGAAGTGGTACCAACATAGAGAAATGGAAGAAAGAGGAAAAACGCGTAGGGGTTAGGAAAGGCTAAGAGCAAGGCGGACAACGATGAGGGGAGAAGGGGTCACAATCGAACCTCCATGTCGAACTTGCTGCAACAACCACTTAGTTCGATCGAGTTGCATCGAACCTCCATGGTTCGAACGTGCTGCTTCACCCACCAACCAAACCAAGAGGAAAAAACGTCGAGAACGAGTCGCCGGGTGTATACCCTAAACTTTAAGATGCAGTCTACAAAGTAAATGTGCGCGAAAAAATAGACCAATGGTGTCTGTCCGCTTTTGACCAAAATAACTGCATCGCGCAGGAATTTTGGTTAGCTTCAGCACGTTGGTTTATAAGAGTAGAAATAATGAAAATTGAGGACAAATCACAGGGTGTCTTTCCGCTATCAGCCGAGACAACTGCATCGCGCAGGAGCTTTGGCCAGCGGCGGCACAGTGATTGTAATAAACAGAAATGGTAAAAAAAAAAAATGAAGAGAAGAGAATGCAGATCGCAGAGTGACTGTCCGCTCGTGGCTGGAATAACTGCATCGCGCAAGTATTCCAGTTAGCTTCAGCACGGCGATTTGCAAAGAAAAAGAGATATTCTATGTATTATGAATTAAAAAGAAAAAAAAAGGGAAAGAAGGGAGAAGAATGAAGTTGAGAATTTTTAAAAGAAATAAAATGTGAAGTTCGACGCCACTGCATCGCGCAAGGGTGTTCGGAACGAGAAAAAAAAAAAGAAGAATAAGTAAAGAAAGATTTCATAAATGAAGCACAATACACTTCCGGAGCTATTCAAGAAATAAAAAAGACAAAAATTGCTATTTTGAAACAAATAATCAATAAACAAATTTTTCAGAAATTGAGCACACCACACACACACACACGAAGAAGAAGACACAGGGATATTTTAAGGAATTGGATACTACTCGACAAGGGTACACACACATACGGAGAAGAAAGATAAGAGTACTTTAAGTTATCGAAGAAAAAGAGAAAAAAATATTTTAAGTAATATTTCGTACAATTAAGTAAGATAAACTCAATATACAATTTTAAAGAAGAAAAACAGAGAAATAGATGTCAAAGCTCAATAAGGTGAAGGAGTCATTAAGGCCATTGACGAGGAATAGAGTCTTAAAAAGGGCTGCTAGTTTGCCAACAATCACGGAACAAAGTCAGGTAGAAACGACAGCACTAATTACGACAGAAGATAGGAATAAGGTACAAGGCATGGAGAACCAAGCGATAGTTCAGCAACCGGTGATAGACATGTTAGGAGGAATTAAACTGTCTGATGTCATTAGGTCGATGCACGTGTATGAAGGCAGTGCGGAAAAGCTTAATGAGTTTATATTGAATGCAGAGGAAATTCTGTTAATGATTAGGGGAGCAGATCAGACTCCCCAGGGACTTTTGGTGTTGAGACAGATACGAAATAAAATTCAAGGGAAGGCAGACGACGTTCTGGTAAAGTCTAACTCGAGATTGAATTGGGATGAGATTAAACAGCTGTTGATTACTCATTTCGCAGACAAAAGATCAGAACCAGATCTATTGAGGGAATTGAATCAATTGGAAAACAGGAAATTGACGGTAGAAGCTTTTTATGATGAGATTTCAAACACACATAAGGCTTTATGTAATATCATCGACAGGACAGAGACTAACCAGACGGCGTTACAGACGAAGAAGAAGCTGTATGAGGCAACTTGCCTGGAAGCTTTTGTTACGGGACTGAAAGGCAACTTGGGTAGTACAGTTAGGAGTAGAGAACCGAACACGTTGCAGAAGGCGTATGAAATAGCTGTTCGGGAAAGAGATATTTATTTGAGGACAAAGGAAGTGAATAAATATAGTAACCCCTTTAACACCGGAAGCTATGGCAGACAACAATATCAGGGATATAATAAGAACAGAGGATTCAATAATTACTACTCAAGAGGCAATACTAGCTATAACGATCGATACAGACAGCAGGGGATGTTGGGCGCTAACAGAAGAGAGAACTACAAGTGGAATAGGGAAGAGACAGACACAAATAGGCGTCAGGATGAGCAGTCAACTGGAAGTAGCTCGAACATCAACAGACGGGCAATTATGCCGAAACAAGAGGTAGCAGAATGCTCTCCGTCGACTTCAAGAAGTGCAAGGCAATGGCACTCTGGGAATTCGAGGAAGGGACAGATTAATACGCTAGAAAGAGAGGCTGACCAAGAGCTTAGCAACATCATAGACGAAGAGGATTTTCGCCAGAGCGCCTCGGGAAGCAAACGGGGTTCATAAGGAAGGATACCCATAAATCAGTGTTGCCTTACATTGTAATCAATGGAAGGGGGAGAGAAGCGCTGAAACTTTTGATTGACTCTGGGGCTACAAATTCGTATTTAAACCCTGAGCTAGTAAGGGAGGACAGGAAAGTAAGGCTTGAGAAGACCTTTATAATTAATTCCGAATTTGATAATGAACCTTTTGATTTTTACTTATTTAATTTCCATTCTTATTTTGATGGATTAATAGGTATGGATATACTTAGAAGAGTAGGTGCTAAGTTAGATTTACAAAATTTATTTTTGGAGACAAAGAATGGAAAGATTCCGGTCCAACTGAGACCAAATAGAGTTACAGGGGTGCATCTATTGGAGGAGGCATCGAAAACAATTATAACGTTACCGGTCACAATGAATAACGGGACGTTTCTGCTAAATACGACGGTAGTAGAAGAAGGAGTACAGATTACTGGTGGGATCTACCAAGCAAAGAAGGGACAGGCAGAATTGGAAGTGTCAAATTTTACGGACAGCAAGAAGAAGTTGTATTTGGAGGCACCATTGCCAGCAATACCATATGACAAGAATGACTTTGTAGAAATGGAAATGCTGGTACCATTTGAACAGGATTTCGACAGTAATTTTAACGTAATGGATAGCGACGACACTGAGGTACAGGCTAAACTAGCAACTGACCATTTGAACGAAGAGGAGGTAGAGAGCCTGAAAAAACTGTATTTTCAATTCCCGGACATTTTTCATTTAAAAGGGAAACAATTAACTTTTACCAATGTGTTAACACACTCAATCCCCACAACAGATGAAATTCCGATATATAAGAAACCCTATAGATATGGTTTTAAACAAAGAGATGAAATAAAGAAACAAATACAGGAATTACTGGATCAGGAAGTTATACGGCACAGTCACTCGCCATGGAGTGCACCAGTTTGGTTGGTACCCAAGAAGATAGACTTGTCAGGGAAACAGAAATGGCGGTTAGTAGTGGATTTTAGGAAGCTTAATGAGAAGACGGTGAAGGATAGATATCCTATGCCAGTGATCAGTGAGGTACTGGATAAGTTAGGCAAGGCCATGTATTTTTCAGTGTTGGACTTGGCAAGTGGGTACCACCAAGTGGAGATGGAAAAGAAAGACATTGCGAAGACTGCGTTTACGACGGAAAATGGGCATTTTGAGTATGTGAGAATGCCATTTGGACTAACTAATGCCCCGGCTACCTTCAAAGGGTAATGAACAATATTCTAGGGGAGTTAGTTGGAAAGATCTGTTTGGTATACATGGATGACATAATAGTCTATTCGCCCTCATTACAGAGCCATATGCAGGACTTGAAAACCGTATTTAGTAGACTGAGCGAAGCAAGATTCAAGCTACAGATAGACAAGTCAGAATTCCTCAAGAAGGAGATAGAATACCTGGGTCATGTGGTGACTCAAGAAGGGGTAAAACCAAATCCAGGAAAGATTGAGGCCATTAAGCGTTTCCCATTACCACAGACAGCCAAGGAAATTAAGTCATTCTTGGGGCTGATAGGGTATTATAGGAAATTCATAAAGGATTTTGCGAGGGTGACAAAACCGTTGACAAAGAGGCTGAAGGGGAAACAACAAATTGTGGTCGACGATGAATATAGACGAACGTTTGAACACTGCAAGACCTTACTGTGTAATGACCCCCTCCTAAGATACCCAGATTTTTCAAGGCCGTTTATATTGACGACTGATGCGAGCAATTTTGCCGTGGGTGCAGTGTTGTCTCAAGGGACAATGGGGAGTGACAGACCAATAGCATTCGGTAGCAGAACCCTAAATGATGCAGAGGTCAACTATTCCACAGTGGAGAAGGAAATGTTGGCAATAGTCTGGGGAATAAAACACTTCAGGCCGTACTTGTTCGGCCATAAATTCACAATAGTCACAGATCACCGTCCACTGACTTGGTTAATGGGCTTTAAGGAGCCCAATTCCAAGTTAGTGAGGTGGAAGCTGCAACTATTGGAATATGATTATGAAGTGGTTTATAAGAAGGGTTCGCAGAATGTAGTAGCAGATGCACTCAGCAGAATAGAGTTACCAATTAACAATAGCGAGCTAGAGTCAAATCAGGCCACCTGTGCAGATGTAGACCGCAGGGGAGTAGGTACCGAGGAAAGAATTCAGGTGGCAGAAAAACCACTGAATGATTTTAATATTCAACTGATATTTGAAATTGGACCGAAATCGGTCAGGACGGTGCTATCACCCTTTAAAAATAAAACCAGAAGGGTGATAACTGAACCAAAGTTTGAGGGAGAACAGGTCGCAA